CCTGGTTCAACATCTGCAAATCAATCAACGTGATACAATACATTAACAAAAGAAAGAACAAGAATCATATGATCCTCTCAATAGATGCAGAAAAAGCATTTGACAAAGTACAGCATGCTTTCTTGATCAAAACTCTTCAGAGTATAGGGATAGAGGGTACATACCTCAACATCATAAAAGCCATCTATGAAAAACCTACAGCGAATATCATTCTCAATGGGGAAAAGCTGAGAGCTTTTCCCCTAAGGTCAGGAACGCGGCAGGGATGTCCACTATCACCACTGCTATTCAACATAGTATTAGAAGTCCTAGCCACAGCAATCAGACAACAAAAAGAAATCAAAGGCATCCAAATCGGCAAAGAGGAAGTCAAACTCTCACTCTTTGCAGATGATATGATACTGTATGTGGAAAACCCAAAAGACTCCACCCCAAAACTGCTAGAACTCATACAGGAATTCAGTAAAGTAGCAGGATATAAAATCAATGCCCAGAAATCAGTGGCATTCCTATACACCAACAACAAGACAGAAGAGAGACAAATCAAGGAGTCGATCCCGTTTACAATTGCACCCAAAACCATAAGATACCTAGGAATAAATTTAACCAAAGAGGCAAAGGATATGCACTCAGAAAACTATAAAATACTTAGGAAAGAAATTGAAGAAGACACAAAGAAATGGAAAAACGTTCCATGCTCATGGATCGGAAGAACAAACATTGTGAAGATGTCAATGCTACCTAGAGCAATCTACACATTCAATGCAATCCCCATCAAAATACCATCCACTTTTTTCAAAGAAATGGAACAAATAATCCTAAAATTTGTATGGAACCAGAAGAGACCCCGAATAGCCAGAGGAATGTTGAAAAAGAAAAGCAAAGCTGGCGGCATCACAATTCTGGACTTCCAGCTCTATTACAAAGCTGTCATCATCAAGGCAGTATGGTACTGGCACAAAAACAGACACATAGATCAATGGAACAGAATCGAGAGCCCAGAAGTGGACCCTCAACTCTATGGTCAACTAATCTTCGACAAAGCAGGAAAGAATGTCCAATGGAAAAAAGACAGTCTCTTCAACAAATGGTGTTGGGAAAATTGGACAGCCACATGCAGAAGAATGAAACTGGACCATTTCCTTACACCACACACAAAAAGAGACTCCAAATGGTTGAAAGACCTAAACGTGAGACAGGAGTCCATCAAAATCCTAAAGGAGAACACAGGTAGCAACCTCTTCGACCTCAGCCGCAGCAACTTCTTCCTAGAAACATCGCCAAAGGCAAGGGAAGCAAGGGCAAAAATGAACTATTGGGATTTCATCAGGATAAAAAGCTTTTGCACAGCAAAAGAAACAGTCCACAAAACCAAAAGACAAACGACAGAATGGGAGAAAATATTTGCAAATGACATATCAGATAAAGGGCTAGTATCCAAAATCTATAAAGAACTTATCCAACTCAACACCCAAAGAACAAATAATCCAATCAAGAAATGGGCAGAAGACATGAACAGACATTTTTCCAAAGAAGACATCCAAATGGCCAACAGACAACAGCTCAACATCGCTCGGCATCAGGGAAATCCAAATCAAAACCTCCATGAGATATCACCTCACACCAGTCAGAATGGCTAAATTTAACAAGTCAGGAATCGACAGATGTTGGCGGGGATGTGGAGAAAGGGGAACCCTCCTACACTGTTGGTGGGAATGCAAGCTGGTGCAACCACTCTGAAAAACAGTATGGAGGTTCCTCAAACAGTTGAAAATAGAGCTACCATACGATCCAGCAATTGCACTACCGGGTATTTACCCCAAAGATACAAATGTAGGGATCCGAAGGGGTACGTGCACCCCAATGTTTATAGCAGCAATGTCCACAATAGCCAAACTGTGGAAAGAGCCAAGATGTCCATCGACAGATGAATGGCTAAAGAAGAAGTGGTATATATACACAATGGAATATTATGCAGCCATCAAAAGGAATGAGATCTTGCCATTTGCAACGACGTGGACAGAACTGGAGGGTGTGATGCTGAGTGAAATAAGTCAATCAGAGAAAGACATGTATCATATGACCTCACTGATATGAGAAATTCTTAATCTCAGGAAACAAACTGAGTGTTGCTGGAGTGGTGGCGGGTGGGAGGGATGGGGTGGCTGGGTGATAGACATTGGGGAGGGTATGTGCTATGGTGAGCGTTGTGAATTGTGCAAGACTGTTGAATCACAGATCTGTACTTCTGAAACAAATAATGCAACATATGTTAAGAAAAAAGAAAAAGAAGAAGATAGCAGGAGGGGAAGAATGAAGGGGAGTAAGTCGGAGGGGGAGACGAAACATGAGTGACAAACTGAGGGTTCTAGAGGGGAGGAGGGTGGGGGGGATGGGTTAGTCTGGTGATGGGTATTAAAGAGGGCACATTCAGCGTGGAGCACTGGGTGTTATGCACAAACAATGAATCATGGAACACTACATCAAGAACTAATGATGTAATGTATGGTGATTAACATAACAATAAAAAAATAAAAAAATAACCCCAAGGACCCCCCCAAAAAAAAACTAATCTCAGATGTTACTACCTTTCCCCCCCTTCACTTGGCTCTATCCACAGTGGTCTCCTCGCCAGGATCCACTTCGACCTCAGGGCTTTTGTACACTTGCCATTCTCTCTGCCTGGAATCCTTTCCCCCCAAGTTCCCTATATGGCTCACACTCTCCACTGCCTTCACAACTTTACTCAGATGTCATCTTCTTGTTAAGGTCTTTCCTGACCACCCTGTTTGAAATGATATTCCCATCCCTAGTCTCTGGCACTCCTGCTTGCCCTTTTCTTGATTTATTTTAGCCATACTGATCACTACCTGACAAGCTATATATTTTTTTTATTGTTAATCTCCCCACAATAGAATGTAAGCTTTACAACGGCAAGGATTTTGAACTATCCCCTTCATGGATCCATCTCTCCCCAGCTCTTAGAACACTGCCTGGCGCATAAGAGGTGCTCAATAAATATTCAGCCAAAACTGTTGCTCTCCCTATCATCCTAAGGGTTCTAGTAAATATGATTTTAGTTTGCTTCTATGTCCCTGGAAAATAAATCCAATGACCAGACTTTGTGATGCACTTTGCTCAAAAACACTAGGGAAAAAAAAAATCACACTCACCAGGGGTGCCAAGAAATCTCTTTGGAACCCATCCTAGAATAAGATTTAGTTTCTAGGTTTGTTTTGTTTGAATCCAAAAGTGGATCCAAAGATCTCAATTTTTTTAAAAAAAAGTATGAATATAATATTACATTATTTATATAAAATAAGTTTTTACTCCCTTGAATTAAAAGTATATATATTATAGAATATTAATAATTTCTGGAGGACACTAACAAATTAATGTAAATACTTCTGGGATCAAGATTTAAGAGCTCATGAAACAGAACTCTTTGGGTACCAAGAGAGCAGACGTTACTTCTGCTTTCTGTACTATTTTGACAATTATGTCCCTATAACTGCTCTTTTTATTGTTAATGATGGCTCCGATTTATTGTCTACTCCTTCTATATCACTTGACACTGTGGTTTGTACACAAAATCTTGTTTAACCCTCACATTATTCTTCTAGGGAAGGCATAATTTTTTTTTAAATTTCCATTTCACAGATGAGGAAGTTGAGACTTAAGAAAGTTAAGTGAGGGGCGCCTGAGTGGCTCAGTTGGTTGAGCATCTGCCTTTGGCTCAGGTCATGATCCCAGGGTCCTGGGATTGAGCCCCATGTTGGGTTCCCTGCTTCTCCCTCTGTTGCTTCCCCTGCTTGTGCTCTCTCTCTCACTCTGTCCCTGTCAAATAAAGAAATAAATAATTAAATAATTTTTAAAAAGGTTAAGTTGAATAGGGTTCTGCTGTTACCAATAGAAAGAGGTGACACCTCTTTCTTTATATTCCTTACCACCGTTGTCCGCATCATCTTTAACATAGTAGTATCAAAAATTCCTCTCTCTCTCTCTCTCTCAAATAAATAAATAAATAAAATCATTAAAAAAGGGTGGGGGTGCCTGAGTGGCTCAGTTGGTTAAGCACCTGCCTTTGGCTCTGGTCATGATCTCAGTGTCCTGGGATTTAGCCATGAGTCAGGCTCCCTGCTCAGCAGGGCGTCTGCTTCTCCCTCTGCCCCTCTCCCCCTGCTTGTGCTGGCTCTCTCAAATAAATAAATAAACAGAATCTTTTGAAAAAAAAAAAAACTGTGCCAGGATGCCTTCCCTTAATCCTTTCCTCATGTCATCCTAATTAGAAGGACCTGTGGCTCTTTTGATTCAGGGCAGTCATTTAAAAGCGATAATTCTTAAATCCTTGTTTCAAACTTCTTACACATAAAATCTTAATCAAGTTACCCAGATTCTTTTACCCATTTTCCTAAGCAGCAAGAGAGATACGAATTTATACCTGTTATTATTTTCCAGAGAGGTAGAAATCGCAGAGATGAACTCTTGGAAGGAAAACTGTACCCATGTTGCAACAGTAACCTCACCCACAGGGATGTCTTGTTTTTCTCCCCCATCAGCCTGTCCCTGTTTTTGTCTTTTTGTGCCCCCTGCAGTTGGAACAAAGCTTGGTGAATAGTGAGCACAAAATAGAGAATACTGAATGAAGGGTAGATACATAAAGTCAGGATACACTACATTCTCTGCTATAGCATAAACTTCCTTGGTAGTTTTCTCTTTAACCTCCCTGTTCACCATTGGATGAAATATGCCAGATTTGATTCCAACCCCACCCCCCACCCCAACTTCCTTCTTAAAAATATGCTCAGGGTTAAGGCTTTCTTTCTGTAATCCAGAGGAAAATGACTTATTTTAAAATGCAGTAAAAACACCGCATTCCTTTGGCACAGGATGAAGACCAGCTCAGCTCTTCAGCCCTGGATCATTGTCTATTGTTCTCCAAACAGTAAACCACTATTTCTCACCAGAGATTGCGGGCTGCAGTTCTGTCCGAGCCCTGGGCTTCTCATGAATATGAAGTGAAGGGCTCTGACCCAGAAAGTGGTAGGTAATCTCAAAAAGAAAAAAAAAAAGGGACAGGTAGGAAGAAAACTAGACTTTATGTAATTCTACACTCTTGAAATCTCCTGCAGGTTCTGAGCAGGGTAAAATGGGGTCTCGGAAATGTGGAGGCTGCTTAAGTGGTCTGCTGATTCTGCTTGCACTTTGGAGCATAATTGTGAATATATTATTGTATTTCCCAAATGGGCAAACTTCCTATGCATCCAGCAATAAACTCACCAACTACGTGTGGTATTTTGAAGGAATCTGTTTCTCAGGTATCATGGTAAGTGTGACTTTGGAGACTTGGGGTTGCAGAAGGGGGTGCTTTACTAAGCATTGTCTTGTTCCTAGCAGAAATAATGAATAATGGAAAAATCATGCCACTAATCCTGGGTTTAGGATTTGGAAGATGGGTGGGGGTAGAGGGACAGGTAGTCTGTGAGGGCTTGGGAGGGTGGCTTTGTCATCGGTAAGCTGCCCATTTATGTCACTTCAGCAGTGCAGGAAATTAGTCCTAATGAAAGTCTGTGGGTTGCTGGCTGGTCGAAATACTATGTCCTCATGAACCCTGTGTGTTGGTTTAAGCTGTTTAATGTCCAGTGGCAGTGCTCTTTTCTAGAATACTTTCTATCTGCACTCATGATTTCTCTAGATTGGAGAGGTATCAAGACCGCGTGGAAAAAACAGAGATTTGGAGATTCAAATTTGTGTTCAAATACAAGCTCTGCCATTTGTGTCATGAGACCTTGAGGAAGCTCCTCAATGTCTTTGAGCCTCAGTGTCTTCATCTGAAAAATGGGAGTGATAGCATTTACTTTTTAGGGTAATTGTGGGGATTCAATAAAATCTCATGAAGGAAGTGCCCAGGACGGAGGCTGATATGTATAGGTAGCCAGCGAATATTGTGATTATAAATACTTGTTGAAGAATGGGCCAGATCATCATTAAATAGTCTGATATTATACACCTCAGAATGGGGGATGTTTCTGAAAATGAAATCAAATTATTTACAGTCAGAATCCATGAATGTTTTCCTGATGTCTTTGTGCTCTTTAAAAACAAGCTGATAGTAAATCATGTTGGCAAGTCAGAGGAAAAAACACTTTTCCTGATCATATCATTTCTAAAAACAGCACATTGTGCACTACAAGCTTACTATACCACCGATGACATAAAAGAAAATGCATTGTAATTTATCTCTACATCTTCACGGGCGCTTAATTATTATAATATTTGAATAACTATGATGAAAACAGTTTTCGTTTAGTTACTAATTTGCATATGAAGTTAGTCAACTTTAAAGTATTGATATCCAATGCTATTGAAGTTGCTATGTGATAGGTAGGTACATAATGAATTGTTTGGTTATTGTACTATAAGTGAATGCAAACCTTTTGGAGAAGATTTTGATATGCTATATTAAGATCCATGAAAATGTTTATGTCTTTTGACTTAGTAATCCTAAACCTGAGAATAAATTCTGAGCAAATAATCCATAATAAGGAAAGAGATGCATACATAGATATTTATGGCAGCATTATTCATAATAGTAAGTAATTAGTAGGAGCCCCCTAGCATAGAATTGGCCAAATAAATTGTGGTATATTCACTTTCTATGGTGATGAAAATGATAATTATGAAGATGTAATAACATGGAAAATGCATATTATTTTGTGTTAAGAAAAAAAGAAAAGATACAAAAATAGTGAATAAGTTACGATTACAATTATGCAAAATATACACATGTGGTAATATACTGGGAGTAAATACATAAAAACACGTGAGGGTGTGGGATTTGGGGTAATGTTCCTCCATTATGCTTGAGCCCTGTATTCCAGTTATAATTTTACAATGAAAAAAAAGCAGTTTCTCTTTCAACATGAGCGATGCCTGTGTTTCTCTTAGGACACAGGACTCCAGGGTCTAGGTCTAATTATTTCTACTAATATTGTAATGAAGCCAGTTACTGTACCTGTTGCACTGTGCCTTCTCTCATCAGTTTCCCTCAATATGTCACTGCAGTCAATAGAAGGGTTGCAAGGCATTGATAAGATTAAACCAGAATCTACTAAAATCTGCGATAACTAATGGTGTTGAAAGGAGGAGAATATAAGACTCTTTGGCTTATATTCTGTGTAAAATTTAAAAGTTAGAAAAGAACCAGTTCTCTATTTTCCATTGTCAAAGAATTCTTGAAAAACGTGATTGTTACTGCATCAAATCTTTTTAAGAGAAAGAAGAGGGATGTAGATAAATAAATAAGTAGACAAACAAAAGCTGACGAACTTGGAAACTGGAAATGTTGACTGCACATAGTAAAATAACAATGAACTCAGCTTCAAGATTCAGTCCTGAGCATTGGGAGTAAAGGCTAGGTGGAGAATTTGTCAGAAGCAATTCACGGTCCATACCTGCCCAAACTGGGAACTATTACAGTAAAGAAATCCACGTTCTTTTCAGAACTTCAGCCCTTTGCTTAAGATACCAAGAAAAGGAAGTAGAATACATTGAATTCTCCCAGTTTGTTGGCTTGATAGAGACAAAGCACACTTGAAAATTTGAACCTGAGATGACTTGAATGCTTGGGCAAATCAAACTGACTTTACTTTGAATTAAGACATGTAGTTTCAGATTAACCATGCCTCTCACCTGCATTCCCAGAGGGCAGTAAATGGAGAGAGGCTGGCAAACAGCAAAGTCTGGTGAATGATTTTCCTTTGACCTCTGCAACTGAGTCAGTGAGAAATGCAGGTTTGCTGTGTGGGGTGGTATTCCCATGTCCATACCATTTACTGCTTAATCATTAGCTTTTGATGCCATGCCAATAATAGCTAACATTTATCAATCACTTACTATAAATCAAGCACTATGTTCAAAATTTTGCATACATGACCTCCTAACAACCCAATGAGATGAGTTCGCAGCACCATTTTATAGGGAAGGACTCTCAAGCTCACACAGTTAGAAAATGGCAGCACTGGGATTCAAACCCAGGTCCACTTGACCCCAGAGTCCCTGCTCTGAATCACTGTGCTCTGATTATGACTAGTATTTCATTTCTGATATTTCCTCTCTTCCCTACTACAGATGCTTATAGTAGCAGCAGTTCTTCTTGTATTGGAGAATGATAGCAACTATAAATGTTGCCAGAGTGAAAACTGCAGCAAAAAATACATGGTAAGAGCAATAGTACTTTGAGGATGGTTGAGTGGTCTCTGGCTCTCTTTCCTCTCACTCAGAAACATGAACATATTGACATTATTGTCCCCTCTCCATGATCCTTTCAATTCAGAGCCCAAGAGTTTACTAAAAAAAAAAAAAAAAAAAAAAAAATCGTCCATTTTGTTTATTGTCTTTCCTCCACCTTTGTCTTGCTGATGTTCTTCCCGAAGTTCAGGATTTAAAGACATGAAATTGGAAAATAATACTACCTTTTCCTAACTGGGTTTCTGTGAGTTTATTTTTTTTCCCTTTTCAACTTTGAGGACTGATTTACATTCAATAAATGGCATCCATTAAAATTGTACAATTCCATGAGTTTTGACAGCCAAATACACCCAAGCAACCACCATCACAATCAAGACACAGAACATTTCTATCACCCCTGAAAGATTAATCTTTGATCTGCTTTATGTCACTATAGATTAGCTTGTAGTCTATGTGAATAGAATCATGCAGAATTTTTCTTCTGTATCTGGCTTCTGTCACTCAGCATAATGATTAGATTTATCCATGTGTTGGGTATATGTGATGTACATTTTTTTAAACTGGGATTTTAAAAATAATTTAAATAGAATCAAGAGAGAATAATACAACCAAATTTTCTAAGCCTGTGCTCAGCAGGCAGGTGCTAGGCTCCTACATTTCCATCATTATCCTTTTCTTCAGGGTCATCATCTTTTAATCATATTTGCATAGCACTTTATAGTTTTTTTCACACTTACCCAGTGACTTAGATCATTGTTACTCATACTGATATGAATTACCTGTGGCTCAGAGAGAACGTGTGATGTATTAACTAAAAGGACTTTCCTGGAGGCCTGGTAGGCATATCTTGCAGCAGTGGCTGCCCACCGTGGCTGCCCGTTGCAATCATCTGAGAGCTTGGAGTTGGGATCCCATCCCCAGACATCCTGAACTAGTTGGTCCAAGGGGCAACCAGATTTTAATGCGCAGCCAAGACGACATGTCCAGCTTTCTTTGACAGATGTGTTGGAAGACTAAATTAGCTGTTAAATTTAGAACTGTGCTTCTGGAGGAGAAGATTTGAAGATTTGAAAGACACTCTGTGCACGTGCATGCACGTGTGCTTTTTGGGTGTATGTATTTTCTTAACCAACCAACCAACTCAGACATCCCCAGGTAGCTGCTGGTATTATACGTACGGAAAAGCTTTCAAAATTGCCGAGTTGAAGCAATAGAGTCAGGTAAACATTAACCTAAATGATATTCAGGGAATCTCTAGAAAACAAACGTATGTGCCCTTAGGTTCATAATAAAAATAAATGTGTTCAATTTGCCTCGACTATTAGCATCTCCAGCACAAATGGATGGTGTAGACAGTGTGGAGTCTGGACAGGGTCTGATAATCAAATTGAATGAGATGACTGGTATCTCAAAGGGAAAAGCAGGAGGAAGGGAGAGGGGATTCTCTGAATTCCCTGCTTGGTTCTTTCAAGGTAGGGCTTTAGAATAGGGGTCCCAGTTCATATGCCCCCAGGAGCAATTACCTGATGGAAATGAAAGAACTGAGCCTGGCAGGCATTAGAGCAAGTCTCTGTTTAAGGAAGAGAGGGAGCCACTCCTCAAGTCCAGCCGATTGTTATCATGACAAAACTGGGCAGTGTTTCTCAGTTTTCAGTGGAAAGTAGAAATATGGAGCTTTATGTACAACTTCTCAATTACAGCATGGCGGCAATTAATTCTCATTTAAATTAAATAAAGCACATCTTGAAGGCTAACTGTGAGTCTGCCCAGGTTTGGAACTGCTGAAGCTCTGCAATGGAAATTGATTCACTTGACAGAGGAGAAAAAGTTTTCCCCAAAAGTTTCCTTTGCCCTCAACAAAAACACATCTCCATAACTCATACTTTTTTTTTCTACCAAAACACCTACTTTTTTTTCTTGTACACAGAGTTGTTCTCTTCTTATTTCTAGTAGTTTTACTTTCTTTTTTTTAGCAGTTTTAATTCCATATATTAGAATTCTTAACTCTTAGAAACTTAAATTTCTAGTGAAAACCAGGAAGTAAGCAATTGTGGAGTGTTATAGATGTCAACATCCTGTTGATTGGCAAATTCATGAATATGCTATTTCCATAATTTCTAAAGCATACATTTTTACAAAACCAATTGCTATAAAAACTCCCTTGCCAAAATCTAGCACAGACTTCATAAGATTACTTGTCAAGGGCAGATAAAAATCTTAAAAGTCTTCTTCACAACTATTAGTAAAAAACTTTAGCCATCTGAATGGGTAGCCATAACTTGTTCCATCGGCCAGAAACACAATTTGGACTCTTTTATAAACTGGTGACTTTTGTATCAACGTACCTGGTATGTGGCTAAAATTTAAAAACAAAGGCCATACGATCTCTGTGTCTTTCTATATGCTTATTTATGTCTGTATACGTCTGTTACAGACGTGTGATATTTTTCTACCTCCAGATGGTATTACCAAAATAATTTATAAAATCTCTCAAAAAAAGTTCTATTCTAATTGGCATAGAGATAAATGAATGCTCATATAAATTAAGTATTCCTAAATACAAAGACTAATCCAAAAAAAATTTCTATCAGGGTATGAATATCAACCTTCAATTTGGCCAACTTCTGACCATACAGCCCCTTAAAAAAATTGTTTCAAATATTTAAACCAAATGACTTGAAACCAAAACCAAAATTTAACCATGGATGCAAGAGATGTCCCCAAGGAGGGTGCAAAAGATGCAGCCCTCCCAAGACCCAGAATCACTCCCAAAGTTAACAAAAGAAAGACTTAGACAACTCCTCCTGAAAGCTGGCGACAGTTGGTAGGATGCTAGCCACAGTGGGGTGCAGCCCAAATTTCTGTATGGCAGATTTTGGGGGGCTTACAACCTGACAGTTGGTTGCCTCCAAGAACTGACACTCGCATGCCCTGACAGGCAGAAAGCCAAGCCAATTTCTCAGAACACAAAAAAGAGACAAACAGGAAATTGATTAGCTGTCCCTGGGAGGGAAAGGATCAATAACCAATGGATAACTCAAAACCAAATTTTAACCAGAGTCACAATCCAAAGAACTAATTTTTATAAATGTTTTCCCCTGCCAATCTGAATCTGAAAAGGAAAAGACTCTTACCACCTATCCTGGACCAGTCCCCCACAGGCAGAGATCCAAGAAACTGACATGGCAAAAATTCTTCTGTGGCTTTTGTCACAGATCCAGGATCTCTAACCATAGCTTCTAGACCAAGCAAGGGGTTCCCAGCCAATGGTGCCCCCTGTTGGGTGCCAGATACTGTAGCGGAAAAAAAGTTTTATTTGACCCTCTTAGGGTTCCTGGCACTCAATCTGAAATTTAAACTGACAAAAACAGATTAGCAAGAGAAAGGGGTACACATTTTATTGAATTTTATGTATACATGGGAGCCTTCACAAGAGAATGAAGGCCTAAAGGAGTGACCAGAGTAGCAAGAAACAGCAATGAATTTGTAAAGAATTGGCAAGAGTGGGGGTTTGGGCTAGGGGTAGTAAATGGTGAAGAAGTAACTAGGAAGATAAGGTTGAGTTTAATGAGGTTTGTTTACATAGGTTTCTTGGTCCCAAATTCCCTGTCTCTGCTGATAAAAATGTCTTCCTTTTCCTCCTTGTACAGAGAGGGTAACTTTCACATGGGAGTTTTATGACCTGTTTCAGAGAAGAAGGGTGAAGGGGCTGGGAGGGGTCAGAGTGACCATCCTGTTTCTGCCATTTTCTCAAACTCCTTCAGTTTAAAATATTCAGTCTGCTAAGGTGCCATATTATGGGGGTGACCTGAACTCCATTAACTTCTTGTTTGCTATTCATTCTTCTGTGGAGTTTCATTTTCTGCCAAAATCCTGTGTGTTGTTAACCCTGGAAAACAACTATCTGCCAAATAGAGGCGCTTGGAATAATAGATAAAAATTGTGATTATAGTTACACTTTTGAAATAATTTTTACATCCACTGTGTTCTTTAATTTTGAAACATCCCTGTTATGTAGGTACTATAATCATCTACATCATTTACAGTTTATAGAAAATGAAACTGACTCAGAGAGATTCTTATTCCTGCTTTATTTCGAGGCTCAATTGTGCAATGGTATCTACTCATTAGACTGTAATTTGTATATATACACAAATATATGTCCTATGCTATGGTTACCAGTTTCACCAAATGAAGAAATTCTTCGTTGATCTTTCCAGTGAACTGCTTAAGAGTGTATTTGGTAAACAAGGAGCTCAATCTTTTCAGAACATTCTTCTTCCTTTTTGGAAGATGGCATTGGTGAATAGGTAAATTTTCTTTGTAAAGTGTAACAGTCAGTAATCTGTTAAAAAAAAAAAAGTAGCTTGTCTCATCCCCTGATGGGGCAACATTCTATTAAAATCAGTATGAGAAATATAATTTGAACGATCTTTTAATCAATGTGAAGATGCCAGTGAAATAATATCAAATAGGAAAAAAGCAGAATTGTTCCTTTCTTCTTTGGGTTTTTAAATACATTTTTTTTCTGATTTCCCATAATGAGCATGTATTAATGTTATAATCAGTAAAATAATGTTAAATTATTTGAGAGATATATAATGTGAGATCACTTTTGTTCCCCAAATCACAGGTTTGTTGTGCTCAGTTTTTCTGGTCTCAAGTTTTGAATTTATCATCAACTAACTTGGCTGTTCTACTCTCACTTGAAAGCAACATTTCTAAAACCAGATTAAGTTGTCTCCCAAACCAAACTACCCTTTTTGGCATCCCTATCTCTGTACCTTTCATTCTGGATTTTTTTTTTTTTTTTTTTTTTTTTTTTTTTTTTAGTCATCTCTAGCTACTTATTTCCTCCCCAACGTCTTTTCCTCCAGGGCTTGTCTTTGTCACTGCAAGTTGAAATTGTCTTGACACAGAATCCTTGTTTTGGGCTCTCTCACTTCTGGCTGGCATGCCATCACCGCAGAGCCATCTTTCAAAATTATATATTGGTTCATGTCACTTCCTTACTCAAAAACCAAGTACATGGCTTGTTGGAAAAAGAGCTATTCTGGTTATTTATAAATTCAAAATGAGCTTGGTACATTTTGTGCCAGGAAGTAAGGAGGTGTTCAAAGAACGACAGGATATCTCAAAGGGCTTGACTTGGCAGGAATTGACTTGACAGGATGTTCTCACTGGCCATATTTGGACCAAATGAGCATCTAAAAGAATAATAACAGTTATGAATGATAACACATTGAATTAGAAAATCCATACATATACAATAATAGAGAAAGAGAGAGATGGGAAATGGAAGTTTTTCTGTGCAGAAAAGTAATAAGGTATAAATGCAGAAGAAATGATAGAATGAGATAAGCAGCACCCTGCAACCTGTCATTGTGACAATTAGTGATCAATGGATATGAGGCTCATCAGTGGATGGTAAATCCATCGTTGAAATGTCTTTGGGGGATAGGATATTACACAGTCTCAAAATATTACCTCACCAATTATTTACTAATTGCAAAGTGGAAAATATATGTTTATAGACCTGAAGGACACCACCTTAACCAAGAGGTCAAAGACATCACCAATAGCAGTGAGAGGTCCCTAAGGTATTCATGCCCATCAGGTGTTCTTGCCAAAATGTTTAACCCAAGTCTAGTTGTGAGGAAGAAATCAGAGTAGCCCAGATTGTGGGGGACATTCTATAAGACAACTGACTGGGATTGTTCAAAAACAATTTAATATTCTAAAAAACAAAAAGGCAGTAAGACTAATGTAGATCAAAGGAAACTAAAGAGATGTAACCCTGTGCATAAACTCTCATTGGATTCTGTACAAAAAAGCAAAACACAGTTGCAGAATAATAGAATATCTTTATTTTGGGGAGATATGTGCTGATGGGTTTAGGAGTGAGATATCACAGTATCTACAACCTACTTTCAAGTGGTTCGGGAACAGAAATGTGTAAATAAATACATACGTGTGCATGGATATATACACATACAGAGAGAGAGCAAGCAAAAATGATAAAATATTCACAGAAGATGAGTCTAGACAAAGACTATACAAAGATACATTGACTCTAGTAATACTATACTGTATGTTCAACTTTTTGGTAGATTTGAAAAAAAAAAAAATTAAGTGAAAGGTATGGGGGCGGGGGAAAGCTACTTGCCCTGAAGGATGAAGCCCACCCTCCTTGATCCAGCATTCAAAGTCACCTTCTGCCTGCATGTACCAAGTTGCACTCACTTTGTAAGCAATGCTGAAGGCTGGATTGTGTCCAACAGCCCCATTTCCCCAACATTAGCAAACGTGTCAATCTGGTCTTCATGAACTTCTCTCTAATGCTTGGTGGGGACCCTCTCTTAGATCACACTAATCTATTTACCCTTACAACTCTGCTTGTACTGATCTGCCTGTGAACACTGCTCATTCTCTCTACTCCAAGGAAAACACCCTCTTCCCTAACAATCTTATCCTCACTTGAACATAAATATGGCCATGTAGGCTAACACCTGATATTTCCCCTCATATTCCTGTAAGTGAAGGTATTCACATATCATCTTCACAGGAGAAAAGCCAAGGTCCTAGCTTCTGATTCTTAGAGAACCCACCCAATGTAGAAAAGAACGCCTTTAGTAAATATAGATTGATTGGTCACACCCTGTCACTGCATTAATGTATGATCATTATTTTGATATTGAAATTCCAGAAGAAAGGAAGAAATGTAGTAAATTAACTAGGATCCTCTGTGGAATCCCAAACAAAAAGTCATTTTAAAAACTTATTTTAAAGATCAGGTGGGTTTGGATTAAATGTTTCTCTTTTTCTGTGGGCATTTACACAGACTGCATGCAGCAGATTTGGGTGAGTAGGGGAAGGTACCTATCTGAACATTTATCCACAATACCCCCTCGTCTCATTCGATGACACCAACCTCCTCCACCACCTTCTCCTCCTCCTCCTTCCTCTTCTTTTTTTTTTTTTTTCTGACCTCCTTCTTCTGTGTTTAATTTAGACACTACTGTCGATGATCTTTTCTGCCCTTGGAATTGCTTTCTCTGGATACTGCCTGGTCATATCTGCTCTGGGCCTCGTTCAGGGTCCCTACTGCCGCACACTGGATGGCTGGGAGTATGCCTTTGAAGGCACTGCAGGACGGTAAGGAATAATCCTCTAAATCAAGGGGCTCAGAAAGCCAGAAACACCTGGCTTCATGCTCATGCTCATTTTCCATGGTCACTTTGGGTTTCCATGTGGGTATGTTAGTGCAGAATTTTCCTATTAAATAATAGACCAATTTCTTCCTGCATAGATCTCTGTTTAGACGTTTTTTCCTCTCTCTCTCTCTCTCTCTCTCTCTCTTTCTTTGACCAGTCTTTTAATGTCATTTGCATTCACTATTTTGAGATTGATGTGGAGATATCCAAGTGAAAGGTGTGTTTCTTCCAAACTTCAGAGCAAAGCTTCGTGGTTTCTGTGGCCTGGAAACTGCTGGAGCCTAGGACTTCAATGATTCTAACAACTCAGTTTTGTTGTGTGGCCAGTTCAGATTGTGCAGTCTGTTACAGCTGGGAAGGGGCTTGTCTGGGAGAGAATCCCAGTGCCCTTGGATGGTGTTACCCATTCTATACCATCAGGGACAACACAGAGATAGAAGCAGGTAGCGTGAGCGGCCAAGTTCAGAGTGAGATCCGGGGACACGACCAGGTGCAGGGGTTTGTGGGGGAACCAGGAGAAGATCTAGTGTGGACTGAAGAAGAGTCTAGGAAGGCAGCCTTACTTAGAGGGCTGGTCGTTCAGTTAGCTGTTGGGGAACCCAGTGCTGGATTGCAGAACACCTCACACTGGCACTGTACCTGCCACCATCTGCAGAGACAGCTCTAGAGGAAGCAGGGCCATCTAGAGATGCAGGAGACGTCCATTGAATCTCTCCTGATCTTGTCCTATGCTCAGAATTCTAATGGTATAAACGGAGGGAGTGTCTGTACCACTCCCTAGGGAAGTTACAGTCTCTTCTCAGTTCCCTATGACTGGCTCTGTTGTTCAAGACCCACATCTATTTGAAGTCTTTCATGCTCAGCTAGGCCTGGATTGCAAAACTTCTTTTGTGCCCATAGCCATCTTTGTCCTGAAGGTTCCACCAAGTGCCACGTGCTGCGAGCAGAGCTCTCTCTCAGGTCGGGAGAACCTAGAAAATAACCTCAGGCATTTCAGACCACTCCTGTGGGACTTTAGGGGCTCAGGAAAGGGGACCCTAATGAAAAAAATCCCACTAGGTGCAAAAAATGATTTTTTTGTGCCATCATCCCCAGACCCCCAAACCAAAGAAGATTTCCCTTTCAGTGCAAGAATCTGAGATTGCCCACATGCCTCTCCATTACTCTTTTTTTAAAATTTTTATTGTTATGTTAATCACCATACATTGCATTATTAGTTCTTGATGTAGTGTTCCATGATTCATTGTTTGTGTATAACACCCAGTGCTCCACGCAGAACGTGCCCTCCTTAATACCCATCACCAGGCTAACCCATCCTCCCACCACCGCCCCTCTAGAACCCTCAGTTTGTTTTTCAGAGTCCATCGTCTTTCATGGTTCATCTCCCCCTCCGACTTACTCCCCTTCATTCTTCCCCTTCTGCTATCTTCTTCTTCTTTTTTTTTTTTTAAACACATATTGTATTATTTGTTTCAGAGGTACAGATTGAAAGTTGCCCTTGATATTTGTATTCACCTGACTCCAGCTACAGTCAAATATTTGGGGTTAAAACATTAGAAGCCATGAAGGGAAATTAAGTCTCTGGTCTCCTAGAGAAGTTTCCAAACCTTGGCAAATTCTGGGTGGAACAAGTGTTAAAGTTCCACAAGTCAGTTATTCATTTGTATGTTTTTCAACAAATATTTCTTGAGCATCTACTGTGCCCAGGCCTTGAATTAGGTGCTACAGAATCAAAGATAAGTCACACAGTTTTACTTCCCTCTAGGAGCTCACACGGACCTGACAGAACGTTCTGCTAAGATGGAGGTTTTGGAGTGAACATTGCCCTCATAGCACAGGCCTTCAATGCTTACACATCTGGGTTCACGTCTTCCAACTGCTACTTACAAACTGTATGACCTTAGGGGCACCTGGGTGCCTCAGTCGTTAAGCGTCTGCCTTCAGCTCAGGTCATGGTCCCAGGGTCCTGGGAACGAGCCTCACATCAGACTCCCTGCTCAGTGGGAAGCCTGCTTCTCCCTCTCCCACTCCCCCTGCTTGTGTTCCCTCTCTCGCTGTGTCTGTCTCTGTCAAACAAATAAATGAAATCTTTAAAAACAAAACAAAACCGTATGACCTTAAACAGATATCCCTGAGCCTCTGTAAATCATTTCCACCTCACAGAATTGACAATTAAATGGAAACAAAGCACAGATTAAGATTTAATAAATTTTTAGGATAAGCCAGATTTTATGATTAACATCATTACCAAGCATAGTGTTTTATGGCTCCATCTGCTGGGTAGTCAGTAGACTCAAGCACGGGCATGGCGACTGCTGGGGATCCTGAATCAGTTCCATTCAACAAGCATTTGTGGATCTTTGCAATGCGCCAGGCACTGCCTTAGGTCTTAGGTCTGGCTATTCAGGGGTGTAGAAATCACGGTAGGGCTCTCAGAGTACACAGCTTAGTGAGGGAATAGATATGGATACAGATAAGACAGACTTAAAAATATAAGGAAGTAAATGCTGTGATAGAGCTCTATATGGAGGCTGTGGAGGGAGTACCAGAAATAGCGTCTCCATTCCTTCCAGACCCTGCTAGTGCATTTACTACTCTGTGGTTTACAGGAAGAATAAATAAGCACCACAGTCCAGAAGAAAAATCAACACCATGGAGGTCATCTTGCTTTCAGGTGTTGGATGATCTGTGCAGAGCATGTACTGGGAAGTCTAGAGTGAGGATCTTGAAGGGATTAGCCTCCCTGGTGGCTGAGACTGAGTTCAGAGTATGAGGGTGTATGGAATGGGTCTAGGGAAATGGTAACAGGAAATTTTATCTGTATCAGGCTTTACAGGTTCCATAGCATTTTTACACACCTTTCACTGAATATTCCTAATAACCCCAGCATTCCATAAGTTAATCCCATTGTCCAAATAAGACTCTAGGGGTCAGAGATGTGAAGTCTCTTGTCCAAGATCCTCCAGAACCAAGAGGTCCCTACTGAGTACTTTTGCCCCTTGAGACCTAGGTGCCTTTAGAAAGATCAGGAAATTCTCAGAGTGCTTCTGAGGGTCCTGGAGCATAGAGAGTAGGAACTACAGAAAGGGAGGAAAGAGAACTAAAGGAAGGGAATAGGAGAGAAACGGGGTAGGGGGGGGGGGGGTAGGGGAGAAGGAAAAACAAAGAGAAGAGGGAAGTCATGGTGGTGGTGTTCCCTGAAATGCAGAATTCACCGGTCCCACCACAGACACCAATGCTCCAGGCCACTTGCCCAGTAGGCTCTTTGCCTTAGCCGCCATCTCAGGAAAAAGCATATTGCTATTGACAAGGTATTTATGAACAACTCTGCCCTACAAATAGGTTTGATGATCTTTGTTTGGAGAATTCTCTGAGGAGACCAGTTTTCCATTTTGATTCCATTGAACAAGAGTGTGACCCTTAGGAGAAGCACTGCGGGTCATGCTGGATCCGGAAGTGAGCAAATGTCAGTCGGGTAGATTCAGCGTGCTTTCAAGATCATCTTGGGGCGTGGTTGAATTCTCACAATCCAGTGCTAAACTAGACTGATGGAACCTTCCGAGCTTTTGCATCCCCACCTCATCACTTAAATTTTAGCAGCAGCAGAGCGCAGCAGTGTTCTAAAGGAGAGGTGCTCGCCCTGCGGACTCCAAACCAGCCGCAGCGGCAGCGACACTGGGAATTTAGAAATGCAAAACCTCAAGCCTCATCCAGACCTTCTGGATCAGAAACTTGGTGGTGGGCGGTGGGGTGGGGGGTTCTCTGCAAGCTGCATTTTCACAAGCCCTCCAGATAATCCTGGAACCACTGTTTGAAAGGGCTTTGGGGACAGATTCTAGGAGTTTCTTTTCTTTTCTTTTTTAAGCAAAATAGGGCTTATAAGGGATTTATTTTTTTTTAAGATTTTATTTATTTATTTAAGAGAGAGCACAAACGGGGAGCAGCCAAGGGAGAGGTTGAGAAGCAGGCTCCCCGCTGAGCGGGAAGCCCAACACGGGACTTGATCCTAGGATGCTGGGATCATAGCCTGAGCGGAAGGCAGACGCCTAACCCACTGAGCCACCCAGGTGCCCCAAGTCTAGGAATTTCTAGAAGCATTTCACTTTGTTATTTCGCCACATGTGTGATTTTTTATATCTAGCACAAGTTCAGCCTTGTCCCGGACAGCCCAGGCTAACTTCTGGACTTTTAGGGAATGAGCAGTCTTTACCTTTCTTGGTATTGACACGTGCTGCCTTTTATTACTAGTGAATCCTTCAGAATGTGTCTTCTCTTCTAACTGAATTAAAATTGTCTCTGAGGCAGGATCCCTGTTGAAAATAAGCATAGCCCAATGCTTTATGCATGCTATATACTCAATATATGTATTTGAATGGTTTTTTTAAATGCTTTCATTCACATTTAATATTATGTATTTCAGTCATATATATTAATTTCCCAAACATACAAACATCTGTAGCCTTCTTACTTGGACCAAGTATTTTGACTTGGCCACGAGTCTTGTTGATTATATTCCTCCTCTCAGTTTCCTTACAGATTCCAGCATATGGACCGAGTGCCTGGAACCTGCACACGTAGTGGAGTGGAACATCATTTTATTTTCTATTCTCATAGCTCTCAGTGCGCTTCAAGTGATTGTTTGCCTCATCAGAGTAGTCACTCAGTTATCCAAGATACTGTGTGGAACCTATTCGGTCATCATCCAGGTAGTAGATCACTAGTAGCACCTGTACCTCCTCCATTTTACCCCCCATTACCCAAGATTCAATGACTCTGGTTGAAAGGTTTTTAGCCTCCCATCTTTTTCTTTCCATTCCTACTGCCCTCAACTAATAGCTCAATTTTTTTTCGATATTCCAATGTGTCTGTTGGCTTGCCTATGTGGATTGAATCAATGGAATAATTATAAAATCTGCACTCAGTCCTGAATGGTGAAAACAGCACAAGTGTTTTGAACGAGCCACAGTTAGGTGTTTTGTGTAGAAATAACTCAGAGCACAACGAAGTCTTACTATTTATTGAGAATTTCCCTGTTCATAAGATAATTGAAGGCTCACAACATTATCCCATTGAAATAATTACTCTTCTGAATGCTGCTACATTAACCTAATATTCTTTATACTGAATCATTAGTAATTGATTTTAAAGTAGAGAAAGATGTTTTTATCCCTCCCAAACTGCTTCTGCTTCATTTGCTAAAATACTAATGTTAATTTAGTTATGGTTGAAATTGCTAAAACTACCCAGCAAGTCTAGAGTGAAGAGAAATCATGAACGAGTTATCTTGTGTCTTACTTAACAAAAAATAATGTATACCCTTCCTAGTATTTTCAAGTAGATATTTTCCTAATTCATCATGTTTTGAATATGAACTATGAATTTAAGTTGCTACCTGGATCATGGATCATTAATCAAGCCAAATTTACTACTTTATTCATTTTCTTTTCCTTTTTTTATAGCCTGGAATCATTTGAATGACAACAAAAATATTTTCCACTATCAAGATGCCATCCATCTGTCTCATATCTACTGTATAGACCTTAACACAATATTTAAATGATGGTGATTTCTCCATTTGGTGTTTTTTGAGCCTGCTTATAAAATTGATAGTCCTCCCTGAAAGTGCCAACTATGTCACCCTTCAATTTGGAATTTTTTTCTAAGCAATATGTGCCAGGATCTCTAGGAACATCCATATTCTTTGGTCAAACAAATCCATTTCCAATAATCTATACTATGGAACTAAATAAGAATAGAAGATAAAACTTTATGCAAATACAAATAATACAATATTATTTAATATTCTAGAAAATTAGAAGTACCCCAAAGTTAAACTTTAAGGGAAGGACTAAATCAAGAGTAGTACATTAGTTGTAATATTATATAGTCATTACAAATTATGATACACAGTCAGTACAAATTATATTTTAAGATTATGAATACTGTTAGTTAAAAAAGCAGATTACAAATTTATGTTTACAGTATAAACATAACCATCCAAGATAAACACCAAATAATCAAAATTTAGGAGAAAAACTCAGTCTAGAAGGATTTACAGAAAAATGTCAACTGTCATTTGTCTGGATGATAGGTGACCCTTCCTACTTTTCTCTATTTCCCAAGTTTTCTTTATCATGTTTTATAATTAAAACATTTTAAAACTCATATTTTTACTATTAAAAATGTTTGCTTTTATCCATCCTTTAAAGATATATGCTTTTTCCACATGTTTTCCCACCATGAGTATCTGTAAACATCATAAAATAATGCTTCAACCCTTCAATAAGGAAAGTATTGAGATAGAAAAGAAAAAAAAGGGGTGCCTGGGTGGCTCAGTCGTTAAGCATCTGCCTTCGGCTCAGGTCATGATTCCCAGGTCCTGGGATCAAGCCCCGCATGGAACCCCGCATGGAACCCCGCATGGAGCCCCGCATGGAACCCCACATCGGGCTCCCTGCTTGGCGGGAAGCCTGCTTCTCCCTCTCCCACTCCCCCTGCTTGTATTCCCTCTCTCGCTGTCTCCCTCTCTGTCAAATAAATAAATAAAGTCTTTGGAAAAAAGAAAAGAAAAGGCAAAAAAAAGTTATACAAATTTATATAATCTAGCTGAACCTTTAACCTTATTGTCTCACTCCTGAGGATGAGTGTGATGGGCTGTAAGAGGTAGCCTTGAAATAAATGAGCAGTCGAGGACATGATCAATGGGTTAAAAAAAGTGACCATTGACCAGTTGATACCTATGTCATAGGGAGTTACCACTACCTGTATTTATAGAAAAAGAAGTTTTTAGTAAAACATTTAGAATCTTTCTATCTATACCCTATACTTACCATGACCTACTTGAGAACAGCAGCTATGTTATATATTTTCCCATTCTCCTTAGGACATAGCACAAAGAAGTATAGTAGACACTCAATGTTGGATATTTATGCCAGGCCCATCTGCCCTTCATGGCTGCTCTGCTGAACACCTGTCTTCATCATAGGCCCCACTGGGCCATAACACTTCTGCCACTTCCCTGTTTCTCTCCTCCATGAACATTGTCAACAATGCTCTGTCAATACCTGCTCTGTGCCAAAGCTGGACAGCAGCCTGGGAGAAGAAGGAAAAATGCTTCTTTCCTTGGCACCTGCTCTGCCCACATCCTCCTTTAAAGGAAGCTGCCCTGACTGCAGCCTTTGCTGATGTAAGTGTCTTGAAAGCAAGCCATGTTGTATATCAGATGACCGCCATGCCTGGACCCAGCCAAAAGAACAGGGATGGGCACCCAAGCCATGGGCAGCCTATTGTCGCCCTACTAGCTCTGACTTAGCCAAGAGTGAAACACCATCCAAATGAGATTCGTGGTCATTCTTGCTTGAGAATTTGAACTCAAGGAAGCCAAGAATAAAGCAACCCAATCATTGCTGTCAGGAAAATAATTAAAGGATGAGAAAAGACACCAATATACAGAGAGTATCTGATTACTCCACCCAGCCCATAAACGTCATATTTATCATCCACCTTTCTTAGTTCTCCCAATGACTCCTTTACCTTCTGGTAAACAGACTTCTGGCAGGTCAACCCCACCAGTTTGTCTGACACACCTAGACTGTCTCAACCTTGTTTAGATTCAATATGGCACCATGCCTTGAGTGGACCATGAGCAGATGTCAGCTGAACGACTCCACCCCAGAACTGGAAACATTGCCTGAGTACAGGGTTGCAGCCAAATGCAGTAGAATATTTGTATCAGTAAATTAAATATTAACACAGCAACCCCACATTTTTTATTTAAAGAGCATCTGCTAATAAGGCAGTTTTAAGGAAAAAAGCTGGATACAAATCTATGTGTGCACTGTGAGCCCAATTTTTTAATAACCATATGATTACATGTAGACATGTGCAAACCTTCAGATACAGACAAAAAAAGACTGGAACAATACCTAAATGTCAGTAGTTAATAATTATCCCCTAATGGTGGGATTGTGACCCATGTTTCTTCTCTCTACATTGTTCTATATTTTCAAATTTTCATTTGAAAGTGTGTTCCTTGAATAATGAGAAAAAATAAATACCATTTTAAAAGGAAGTAGTCTCTCATCCTTTTTATAAAATCTGCTTAAGGAGCTTAAAATAGAAAAGCACTAAACATGAAGGTAAGTGTGTGATAGTCCTTTTTCTTGTTCTTTTCATTTTCTCATTCTCAGAGAGACCGAATATTGCTAATTCTAATTGAGAATGAATTCTATTTTATGCATTTATTTTTTATATTTGCTATTTCTCTCTTATTTCCCTTGCTTCTCTCTCACTGTAATTTTTCTAACTTCTTAAATTGAATGCCTAGCTTATTAATTTCAAACTTTCTTTTTTTCCTTAAAATAATCATTTAAGACTATACACATTTTATTTAAGTGCCAATTTGGTTGCATCTCCCAAGTTTCAATATGTTATATTTTCCTTATTATTTAGTTATAAATTTTTCTACTTTTCTTTAGGATTTATTTTTCCATCTATGTGTTTTTAAATGTGCTTTAAAATTCTCAAATATATGAGTTTGGGTTTTTAAAAAAATAATCCAATCAATAAATCGGCAGAAGACATGAACAGACATTTTTCCAAAGAACACATCCAAATGGCCAACAGACACATGAAAAAGTGCTCAACATCGCTTGGCATCAGGGAAATACAAATCAAAACCTCAATGAGATACCACCTCACACCAGTCAGAATGGCTAAAATTAACAAATCAGGAAACGACAGATGTTGGCAGGGATGCGGAGAAAGGGGAACCCTCCTACACTGTTGGTGGGAAGGCAAGCTGGTGCAGCCATTCTGGAAAACAGTATGGAGGTTCGTCAAAAAGTTGAAAATAGAGTTACCCTATGACCCAGCAATTGCTCTACTGGGTATTAATCCACAGGATACAAATGTAGTGATCTGAAGGGGCACCTGCACCCCAATGTTATAGCAGCAATGCCCACAATAACCAAACTATGGAAAGAGCCCAGATTTCCATCGACATCTGGTATACACACACACACACACACACACACACACACACACACACACAAGGGAATATTACTCAGCCATCAGAAAAATGAAATCTTACCATTTGCAAACTGAGGGTTCTAGAGGGGCGGGGGGTCGGGGAATGGGTTAGCCCAGTGATGGGTATTAAGGAGGGCACGTATTGAATGGAGCACTGGGTGTTATACGCAAACAATGAATCATGGAACACTCCATCAAAAACTAATGATGTAATGTATGGTGATTAACATAACAATAAAATAAAAACAATTCACAGTAAAAAAATTGATTTCCAACTTAATTGTATTGTGATTATACAATGTGGTCTATATGATTCTGATACTTTGAACATTTTTAAAACATGTTTTATGGTTACTATTTGTAAATATTTTATGTACTTTAAAAGTGCATATTTTTCCAAATATTGGGTGCAAGATTCTATGGTGTCCATTAGGTGAAGTTGTTAATTTTGTTGTTCAGAGCCTCAGTATCTTTCCTTTTGGTTGTATGCTTGATCTATAGTATCCATGAAGATTATATGGGCGTATATTTGTATACTAATTTGTATAATCTTATTTACATATTATATATTTATGTATCATATATATATATGTGTGTATATATATATATCTCAGAAAACAGTGTTTGGCACATGGATGTGATTTATAAGTCTGTAACATAGTGGTTTAAAGATGGTTCAAAGATGGTTTAAAGTGGTTTAAAGATGGTTTAAAGATGTACTCTGGAGTCAGAATGCTCAGATTCAAATCGGGACTCTGCCTTATTAGTTGTACAATCCTAGTCAAGTTTACTTACAGTATCTGTGCCTCAGTTCCTGAATTTGTAAAGGAGGAATAATAAGAGAGTGTGTGAGCCTGGGTGGCTCAGTCAGTTAAGCAGCTGGCTCTTGATTTCAGCTCAGATCATGATCTCAGGGTCCTGAGATCAGCCCCATGGGTCAAGCCCCACACATCTGGCTCTGTGCTGAGCATGGAGCCTGCTTAAGATTCTCTCTCTCCTTCTCCCTCTGCCCCCACTCCCCTTCTAAAAAAATAATATTAAAAAAATAATAGAGGTGTTATGCAGATTGTGAGTTGGTACATATAAAGCTCTTAGAACCCGGGTGACTGAAATCAGAACTCAGTGTAGCTGGAGCAGATTTGGGATGGCTGAGACCTGGAAATACCACAAATATAACAGAAGGGGAAGGGAGTAAAGGAATGTCCTACAGTTCTAGGGAGAAGATAGGGTCAGAAGTCTGGGGAGGGAAAGTAGGCAGAGGTAAGAGGCAGGCATTTCTAGGCTAGACAAAGTGCAAGATAGGCCTGCACTTCCTTTTGTCACATGTTTGGAGAATGTAAACATAATAGCTGTCAGAATCAGGTTCCTGACTGGCTCAATGGGTTAAGCGTCTGCCTTCAGCTCAGGTCATAATCCCAGGGTCCTGGGATCGAGCCTTGCCTTGGTCTCCTTGCTCAGCAGAGAGCGGGCTTCTCTCTCTCCCTCTGCTGCTCCCCCTGCTTGTGCTCTGTCTCCTTCTCTCTCTCTCTCTCTCTCTGTTAAATAAATAAATAAAAATAAAAATAAAGAATCAGGTTCCTAAAACCTCAGCCTCTGGCCTATATACTTCCATCCCACTGAAAAGCCACAAGGAAAGGGGGCAACTCAAGGGTGCTATTATGAAAACCCTAACTATTTATATTCAGAATGACTCTTGCCAGTTCTACTTCCTGCTTTGTGAGATGAAACTGAGAATTAGGGACAAGATCCCAGTCTCAGAGGAACAGGGGTACTTGGTAGGAAACTGAGGCAAGAAGTCAAGCTTTAGTGTGTAGTTGGGCGGGTGGGGGCAGGGCACAAAAGAGCCTGGCCACTGAGATCCTTTTATTAGATGTGGTGCCTGGCCACTGCGGTCAGAGCCAACCCAAGACTGACCCAGGGAAACATAACCAATTCAAGTCCAGTGTTTTTTCTGCATTAATATGAAAACACACACACACATCTAATTTCACTCCTGTCTAAAATCACACTGAATTTATAATAAAGATTTTTTAAAAGACATAAACCAACAAATATGCAAAGATCAGGAGAGGAGACAACAGCAATAGAATTGTGGAAGCTACAAAGCATACTGATAAAACATAACTGACAAAACCAACCCATGAAACATGAAAAGCCCAAGCTCTGGGAGTCGGGGTGAGGAGCAGAGAGCCAGCATGATTTACATGTCAGAATCTTCAAAAGACTCCCAAAAGGATAGCACCAGATTCATCTGGAACTGGGAGTAAAGGAAGAGCAGCACTAAAACA